TCAGAGTTGCGCTTCAGGTCATTTTTGAGACTTAAGCAGACGGTTGAGTATAGCAGGTAGAGCTGCTTCAACAGCTGGAGCCTATAGGCACTGTGCTGATGGAATTCCTCCAGGAACTAATCTAGCCTGGGGCATTCTTGTTACATTCCTGCCCTCAGTGAGCTTCCCTGTAAGGAGACAAGTATGAAGATCAGCAAGCAGAGAGCATTTCCAAAGAATAATGGGGTATTGGGCTGGGTCTATGCTGCTTGGAGGAAGTAGTGTTTCCATGGAATCTTGGACCAGCAGGGGGTTCTTGTGAGAATCACCTGGAAGAGGAGAAACAGGGCATATCGTGACCCTGGCGGCAGAGACCTTGGCTAGCCCATGTTTTATGGCCAGCAGTGCTGGAACCCTGTGCGTGGCAGGTGTGCTGATCTGTGTGCGTGCATAGGGCAGAAGGTGTGTACTTGTAGAAGGCTAGTGGACCTCTGGGTGGGGAGGAAACAGAAGGGAAGTAGCAGTGGCAGAAGCAGCACTCATTTGGAACTGATGGCTTAGCGTTGGCAGTGGAGAAATTGGAAATTAGAGAGAGACAGTGGGTCTTGGGTCTGTCCAATTTGCAGGTGAAGTGGAGCTGGGTCCTGAGGAGATGTGGTGATGGGAACATGCTGGAGGAATCAGGGAAGACCATAGTTTCCAGGAGAGCAAGAGGAGAAGAGTGATCACCTACATCTGGAATTGGGAGAATCAGCTTCTGAAAGATCTAGGGGGCCTGTACAGCCACGATAGGACCTTCTAGAAAGGGCCAGTGGAGTGCTGTGACCTTACCAACCAAAGATGGGGTGAAGGCCACCCTAGAAGGAGGAAGAGGAAGACAGAAAGGCTCTGTTGGGCAGGGAGGAGGGGCGAAGACTCCAGAGAAGAGAGTGTGATACCCTCCAACTCCACAATAAAAGTGCAGACCTATCATTTCATCACTTAGGAGGCTGATGCAGAAGACAAGCCTGGACAACCTGAAAAGACCCTGTCTTTAAAAAGAAGAGCAGAAGAGAAGGAGGGCAGGGTAGGTGAGGGAAATGCCTGTCTGATTTGCAACTTAAACACTGTTGAAGAGTTAGAATACAGTAATAAAGTAAGAGCAGAAACAAGTTTGGAAGCAAACGTTTTCTGCAAAAATACTAAACACAGCATTAGCAAGCAGAATTCAAGAGGATAAGAAAACATGTTAAGACCAAGTTGGGTTCATGCCTAGAATGCAAGGCAGACATATTCATACAGGCACTTTAATGTCACCGAGGGGAAATGGCAATGCCTCAAGCCAGTCAGCGATTGATCCTGAGAGAGTGTATGCCTTTGAAGGCAGCATAGTGGGGCAAGGCTACCCTTGGAGTGGGGGCATCTGCCAGATAAAGGGGAGGTGTATGTGTTCAAGTCTACTCCTGGGAGGAGCAGGTGAGGTGTGAGTGGTCCAGCCTACTCCTGGTTTATTATTCTGTCGATTCTAACTTAGAACACCTAAGATCTCTGTTTGATCGCAGGCCTGAAGATTACTTAGTATTATATATTAACAAAGTCTTTTCCTGCTCATAGTTTGATTTCATTTAAAAAAAACAAGAAACAGAAACTGGAACTGGAAACAGTTTATCCATAGAAACAATAAGGCATAGTCTTATGTGAGGTAATCCTGGCCCAATTCTGTATTGCCTTTAATGAACACAGTTGGCCTGTGAAGAGGCCCCGGGTCTTCCTGCTATAGCCTCATTGTCCTATGCTCATTTATCACAGCAATGGTCGTGGCACCTGCACACGAGAAGCCTTCCCAGAGGCAGGCGGGGTACTTGCAGTGTTGTGCCCATCGTTCTGTGGAAGCTGACGCTTTTTGACAGGGCATCTGGCCACAGATAAAGTAGGCTGTTCCCACCTTAGGGTCATACATAGGAAATGCTTGTGTGACCCTCTCACTCATAGAATCTGTGAGGCAAATGGCACTGTTGTGTGTCTCTATTGATGAGTCCATTTGGCTTGAGTTTAGGACTAAGCCATTTCCCGGAAGAGTGAGCCCCACACAGGAGCCTAGGTTAATGATGTGCTTTTTGCTGCTGACATCCCAGCAGAAATGATAGATTACCCAAACCAATTTATTTGTCACATTTGTTTGAGAATACACAGTGATAGAGGTGTTTCTAACTAATAGCTTCATGTCCCTTCTGTGTGGGCAGGAGACTCCCAGGTTGCAGGGATATAACAAAACACATTGCTTCCTGACTCTGCATCGAACTTGTAAATAGTAGTTGATTCTCCTGTGTGTGCAAGCTAGGCCTACTACTGTTAACATTCAACCAATGGATGGCGTAGATGGCTGCACTCTCCCTGAGACTGGATTTATCTGTGGATGGCTACACTCCCTCTGAGGCTGATGTGTGTCTGTGGGTGCCTGTACTCCCTCTGAGGTTGAAGTGTGTCTGACAACACTACCAATGGCTCATTTCTAGCCAGTTTGGCTGATTGGGGCTGGCAAGTAGGTCCAGATGACCAGGCTAGATCTCCTCTGAACACTCCCTGTCATGTACCATTCCTGCATAGGGCAGAAGGTGTGTGCTTGAAGGCTAGTGGACCACTGGATGGAGAGGAAACAGAAGAGCAGTAGCAGTGGCAGAAGCAGCATTCATTTGGAACTGATGGCTTAGCGTTGGCAGCAGAGAAAATGGAAATTAGAGAGAGAGAGAGGGTCTCTGGTATGTCCAATTTGCAGGTGAAGTGGAGCTGGTTCCTGAGGAGATGTGGTGACTCCTATGGGAGTCTGGACCAGAGTGCATTGTACCAAACCAACCTTAGCAAGGGTATGAGGGATCACATCCAACCCTCATGGCTGTGGCAGAAACACAGTAGAGGCTGGCTGCTGCTCATTAGCAGAAAATTAATAAGCACTAGTGACAGGTTTATAAATATGAAAAATGTATTTTAAGTGTTTATAGCAGAAAAGGCATGGAATCAATACTCCAAGATGTGAAAGGCATATTATCACAGTAGTTCACAGTACCCCACCATGTAGACCCTGTGCCCTGTGATGGATGGAGTCCTGGCTTTATTGATACAGTGATGAGAACTCTGGAAGGCTGGGTTGAACTTTGATGTCAGGTATTCGTTAGCACTAATAGTGGAGTTTCTGATTCTAAGAACTGCAGTTTCGATGTTTTCGTTGCAGCTTGTTTCCATTTGTTTATCATAAACCTCACAATATCATGTCAGCCTTCTCATGTAGGAGGCAAGGCTTAGTGTCCAAAGTCCTCGTACCACTCTGAAGTCCCTTTCCACCTGAGGCAGGTAGAGAGGGAGGTATTCGACACAGGGCTGTGTGTCATGGGGGCCTGGAGCAGGTGTTAGGTTTGTGCTGGGCTCAGCCCTGCAGTTTTCTCTTCTGGCCCATAGAGGAGGCTCAGACCCTGCATCTCTGTGAATGAACCAGGGTCTCTCCATGGATGCAGTCTCAAGAAGGTAAGCTGTAAGCTGACTAATTCCAAGTTCTGCTGTGAAGATGCCTCATTTGCACATGTGTGAGCAGAGGAACATGTGACTTAGTGGGTCTGGCTGGACCATCCTAAGAGCAGAGGAGCCTTCCTGCCATAGTGCCGATGGGGACAGAGGACATGAGCCATCAGAGTCCTGGGATCTTCCTGGGGCAAGGATCAATGTGATGAACACCTTGTGAAGGGGTGGGTGGCTGGATATGGGTAGATAGGAGGAGGAGTGAAGGAAAAATAAGGGCACCCTGGATCCTGAGACTGAGAGCATGGAGGTGAACTGTGTGGGAAAATAGAAGGCTGGGGGATGATCAAGAGGTTTTTGAGGATTGATGAGGACATTAGATGACATAAAGGAGGAGTGAAATGAAGTCCTTTCCCACCCTACCCACTGTGGAGTGGCCAGCATGGTTTAAGGAAGCAGGTAGAATTCCACATAATCATATACTAGAAGGGATCCAGTTTATGGGGATGTCACATGTGTAAACCCATAGACCAGGAACTGCAAAGGCAAGGCCTGAGTGGAGTTTCCTGCATTGGTAATCAGAGTTTTTGTAGAGTGTGATAGCCAGAGGAAAAAATTAAAACCAAGTAGAATTACAAAAGAATTTGAGTGCTACCTCTGAAAGTCCAAAAAAGTCATCTCTGCTGCCAACAGACATGGCCTTTACCTCCTACTTTGCTGTCCTTGGGTCTGATGGCAGGGATAGACCAGGCTATTCCTATGTGGATGCTGAGGAAGGAGGATCAAACCCATCCTTGTGTGGACATTGAGCTTGGTGACCAGACCTGTTCCTTTGTAGATTCTGAGCTGGGAAGCAAAACCTTAGACTTTGTAGGCATTCTGGTGGGAGAGGGCACTTTTTCTGTGTGAACACTGAGTTGGGGGTTAGACCAACTCTCTGTGGACATTGAGCTGGGGATCAGATCTATCCTTATGTGGACACTGAGTTAGGGGACCAGACCTGTCCCCATGTAGGCACTGAGCTGGGGGACCAAACCTTACTGTGTGAGCATTCTAGCTGGGGTCCCAGGCTGTTCCTATGGGGACATTTGAGGTGGGAATTGACTAACCTATATACCTGTATCCATAATTATTGAATTCAGTTGTTTTTCAACTTCATTTCTCATAGTAGGGGCCTGTCTTATGGTCATGGAGTAGATGGTAGTGGTGGGCTGTGGGATCAGATGAGTGAAGCCCAGGGGGATGAGCCTCAATCTCCTGAGGAATCTCATGCAAATATGTGCAGCCTGGAATGTGGAGCTGTCTGCTTGCTGGTTGGGCAGTGCTGCTCCAAGCTGACTAGTTCACCTCTGTGCTAGGTGGGGGGTGCTGGCAGGTGCTGGCCAGCCTGCAGCCACCTCTGCCTCCCTGCTGGGGCTAAGTGATGGTTTGTTTCTTCTGCTATCCTTGTAGAAGCTTCTTTTGTGGCTGAGAACCTCACATAGTAGAGAACCAGTACTGCCCTGACCCTGTCTTTCTCTTTGCTCCCACAGGCACTAGGAAGCTTTTATTTTCTTCACGAATCCTTAAAAAACATCTACCAGTTTGACTTTAAAGGTAAGACTCCATGCCAAATTCCATGATCTGTTTCTGCAGCCCGTCCCTTGGTGTGGCCTCTCCAGGTCTCTGGAGAGACCTCATGACAGCTCTGTTGTCATGAGAAGGATTACATGGTCAGGGTTTGCTGTCACTTGAACATCTTGAAAACCTGGCACCTGACCTCCCTGAGGAGAGATGCTCCTGGCCTATCCTGCCTGTCCTGGGTCACATGCCAAAGTCCCCTGCCCCTCTTCTGCCCATCTGAGTTCCTCACAGAGGAGATAGTAGTTTTCACACAGGTTCCTTTAAAATGTGAGAAAATGAAATGGAATAGGATTGCATATTTCAGAAACAGAAGTAACTATATTTGTAACAGTGAAAAGTTCTGTCTAAAGTGGCTGGTGCTGGCCCTATGCTGTTTGCTTGATGGTCGCTGTTGATATGGCCTTTCCCACAGTTCACCTACCTGGAGTCTGGGGGGAGGGCACCTGTAACCCCAGTGGGAGGGATTCCCTCAGGGCACCGTCTGCCAATTCCATGCTATCAATTCACTTCTGTTGTATGTGAGCCTTGTGGAACTCCATGCCTGTCTGAGGCCAGATCACATCTCTTGGAAAAGTCACTGAGTTCCTGATGACTGTGGAAGTAGCTGTTATGTTCTCATACATTTAAACACTTGGTTCCCACCTAATGACTCTGTTTGGGGTTAGGAGTTGTGGAGCCTCAGGCTGTGGGGCCTAGCTGGAGGGTAGCTGGTCACCGGGCTTTAGCGTCGAGGTATGGCCTGATTCTGCCAGCCCTGCCACCAGTCCTGCTAAGTCTTCCTGCCATGATGAAACGATCTCAAACCCTGAGCCCAAATCATGCTCTTCTAAGTTACTTCTCGTTGGGTATCTATAACCAGTGCAGTAACCTTTCTTTAGCTGGTTCAGGTTCACTGGCGGTGCTCTCCCAGAGGAATATTTCCCCCCAGGAGAAGGGGGAACTGTCTTTTCTGCACTGCTCTGTCTTTTCTGTCTGACTTGTGAGCAGGATTCTGCCAGCAGAGATTGTCATTGTGCTTCAGTAGATTTGTCTCAGTATAGCACTGTCTTTCATCTCACGAAGCATGTGGCCAAGAGGAGGTGGCCAAGGCTGCTTTCCCATGACTCCATGGCCAGAAGGTACCAGTGCATGTCCCCAGCAGTGATGTCCAGACATGGACTATTCGCTTTGAGGCTAGGGTAAGACACAGAACTCAGGAGGCAGAAGCAGGTGGATCTCTGAGTTTGAGGCCAGTCTGGTCTACAGAGTGAGTTTCAGGACAGCCAGGGCTACACAGAGAAACCCTGTCTAAGGGGTTAGGGGAGAGCATCAAACTCAAGAGTTTCTGAATCCATAAGAAACCATTTGCATACGTATTTTACTACAAAATAAAGTCAGTCATATTGTGCCTTGCTAACACATAGTTCACTCTGCAAAACCTTACCCAGCAGCTTCCCATTGCCAATAGGAGCAGGAGTAGAGCCAGAGTGGGCATGCTTCTCTCTGGGGTAAGACTCAACTCTGCAAACACAGTGGCCTGACCTGATTGCAGCTTGTATCATGGAGCCAACAGGGTCATTTCAGGGTAGGGTAGGCACACAGTACTCATAGTCCTGGCCTGATATGAGTACAGCAAGAAATCTAGAATTTGTGAGAATTTGAGTAAACCTAAGGATTAGGACCCCAATTTTAAAAAGTAAGAACCTAGTTAGAAATGTAAGAGCACATCTGTCTGCTTCTTTGACCCAAGTCATGTTTTGCCCTCAGTAACATGCTAACAACTTAAAATCAGGCTAAGGAAATGATCCAAGTCTCTGACTCAAACTTAACTATGACAGAGATCTGGAACGATTGTACTGGGAATTAAAAGCAAATGTGGTTTATATCTAGGGTGCAGGAAAGTAGGAAATGAAATTCACTATAAGTGGAAAAAAAGGTCTGGAGGCAAAATGAATGGTATTGAATATAGGAAACCTGAGAAAATTTTTAGAAAAGATCTGTTAAATTGATAAACTGTTAGCACCATGAACCAAGAACAAAAAAGAAAAAAGACACAAAGTATAGATAACAGGAATGAGTAAGAGACCACTCAGAAATGACTAAGGAACCACCAATGATACCAGGATAATAACAGAATATTATAGTAAGCCTGTGCCTATAAGTTTAATAATATGATGGAGGAATTGTAGGGCCATCATAGTCTGAATACTGTGTAAGGGCTGCGGCTGAAAATACCTACAACTGTGAATGAATTTAAATCAGTGGTAAATCTTCTCAAAAAAAGTGCTAGGTCCAGGTGGGTTTTACTGAGGGAAACTACAGCGTTCTCTACAAAGTTCCCAGGTTCAAGCCAAGGAGCACCTCATGACTTTCCCTGGAAGGCCAGCACTGCTTGAATCCTGAAACCAGACAGAGACACTGGAAAGAGGGAGAACGACAGACTGCTTCATGAAAATAAAACGCAAAAGCTCTCAGGGAAATGTTAGCAATGTGCAAGAAGGATTATACACAACAAACAATTGGGATTTACTGTGGACACGCAATTGACTTCACATTTCCAAATCAGCCAATAAAACTGTTCAACACCATCTGTTAAAGAAAGAAAACCTCATGACTGGGTCAATAGAAGCAGAAAAAGTATGTGGCAGAATCAGCGAATACTCTCAGCAAACCAGGAACAGAGATTACCATCCTCCGCTGGACAAGAAAACCAGCTACATGAACCTCCAGCATGCATCAGTTAATGAGAAACTAGAAAAATCAACGGTGTGTCAATACAGAGGGATGCTGGTCAGCCACTAAGAGAAGTGGACAGGTAAAAGATGCTGGCATGGGACCTGTGCACTGCAGGATCCTAGCTGTGACTGTCTGGAAATGGGGGAAGTCTAGAGACATGGCTGGAATGCAGTGTTGTGCCTGGACACAGAAGACCCTTTGGACAGAAAGACTGGTGCATGTGATTCTGTAGCCCTGGGCGCATGACATTTGTGTGCATAGCACCACAACATGAAAAGCAAAGCCTGAAGTACCTTGGTCATCAATGAGTATCACGTGTGCAGACAGTGTGGGATGGGTACATGTGTAGTCTCTACTGGCTCTGAAAGTGACCTTTTTAAGATGTGCCCTCCCACCCCAGTTTCTTCTCATCCTCCAGCAACAAAATGGCTGCCAGATTCCTTCTAAGCACAATGGCTTCTCACAGCCCCTGCCATTCCTCCACCTATGTTCATATATAGACCTGCTTTCCCAAGGCACAGCCCTTTCTGTGTCTGTGAGGTGTTCCTGCTCAGTGTATGTCTTCATGGTGTGTGGCATACTATTCTGTCAACTGATAGGCATTTAGAAGACAGCAATTAGACAGGCCTTTTCACAGGAATAGACATGTGACCCAGTGTATGTATGTATGTATGCATTGTATGGTATGTATGTTCCTGTCCCTTGCCCAGCCTCTTTCCTGTCTGAGTGGGTCTTTACCATTGTTTTTTCATCTCAATATCACAGGTTCACTGAGGGGATGGGTGTGATGACAAGAGGTAGATATGGTGGAGGGCCATTAGGCAGCCCACTGGCAACTTGTTCAAAGTTATCTGCCTGGGTACCTCATGGGTATCTGTTCAGGCCTTCGCCTCTGGTAGAAGCATCTACTCAGACTTCCCCCTGCCCTTCCACCAGACACTTGGCCATCTTAGCATGACTGGCTACTGCTATATGTGCCAAATACCCTCTTGTGGGGTTGGTGGGCACCTGCAGCAAATGTGCACTTCTGCCCTACGGCAGGGCTCACTGAGACCTGCCTGGCCCTGCTGCCTACCCACCCCATGTGCTGGCTCCTTGCTCTGCTGAGGCCTTTTTCTCTTTGTGTGAGGGAGACACAGTTGCCCTTATGTAGTGAAGTTGGTGGTGTTGGCTTCAGAGCCAAGCACACTCATGTCCTATAATATCTGGGGAATATAATCAGAGGCCCGTGATGCAGTCAACTCATAGCTGACCCAGCCCCAGGATAGGCTCCCATGAGCTTTCAGGTCCCTGTTGCATTCGTCATGAGCCATCAGCCCAACCCAAACCAGATCATACTCCTGAGTGGGGACCTTGGGCTCTAGCTGTTTCCTTAGAACCAAAACTTTGTTTTCTGCCTGGGTTCAGCCTCTACCCCTTTATGTATGTCCCCAGAACTACATCTCTCAGCCAGCTCTTGGTGTCCCACTCTTCTCTCTAGTATGGAAAGTACTCCAAACAATGAAAGTCCTGCTGTTCCTAGAATGTAAAGACATCCTTAAAATCCTGGAAGCCACTGTTCCAAGTCTAGTCTCCAAGAACCTGCTTGATAACCCAAGAGCTTCTGCTCTTAACTTCAGGATTGTGGGGTGCTGGGGCTGGTAGCCAGGGAAGAAGACTGTCTGAATTATATTCTTGGGGGCCGACTATTGCCTGAACCCCCTGGCACCTTGCAGGGGCCAGCAGTTCTCATGTCCTGCCTGTGTGGGCTGTGAGAAATATATATTCTCATGCTTCTCATGTGTTACTGTGGATGTGGGACACTTGTCTATAGATAGGACCTCTCTTTGGCCTGCTAGTAGATGGCCTTAGACCAGGGCCTGCCACAGTGCTGTCAGTACAAGAGCAGACCAGGTCTGAGGAACTCCTGCCCTGTGTCTCTGTCTACATCTCACGTAAAAACCGTACCCTAGAATATGAGTGATGTCGTTCGTGTGTGAAGAGGAAATCGATGTTATTAAATAAATTCATGTGAAGGTCTGAGTGAATGGTAATTCCACAGCCCTCTTAAATATATTCATGGCTTTCAAAGAGGGTGCCAATTAGCCCCTGTAAATCTGCAGGCTGGGAGCTCTTAGGGGATAATGAAGTAGAGTGTCAGGTTCCAGGTCATGGAACAAGAATTTATGAGCCACAGGCACCTCTGGAGCAGCAGTTGGCCCTTTGCCTGCTTGGAGGCATCTTTCTGACCCAGGGGCTGCTGTGGTAGGGCATGGCAGTATTATGAGTTGTTAGGGTATAGCGATGGTGTTAATTCACGTCACCCTTCCTGTCTTTTCCAGCTAAGAAGTATAAGAAAGTCACTGGCAAGGAGATCTATTCGGACACTTTGGAGAGCACACCCATGCTGGAGAAGGAGAAGTTCCCACAGGACTACTTTCCTGAGGTGTGTGAGGACTGCTGCCTTCTCATCAGCACACTGATTATCAGAATGAGTGAGTCAGAGGTGATGTAGGCTTGGGCTGTCCTCCACTGTCAGCAATCACAGCCATCTGTCACACTACAGGACTGTTTTCCTTGGAGTTTGGGGGTGATCTGAGCTGCTCTGCATAAGGGCACAGAGAACCTAAGAGCCCAGGTTCTGTTGTCATGGAACTAAAAATGTCACTTCTAGGCAGGAGAGTCATCCCAGAAGAGAAGGGAAGTGTCTTCGCGCTCTCTTGGGCCGATATGGCGGCTGGAAGTCACTGTGTGCACTTATGTGCTATGTCTCATATGCAGTGCTGTACGGGAGCTACGCACATGGTAGACCTTCACCCCCTCTGTGGTTGCTGGAGTGACAGCTAAGTCCCTGCAGGAGGCCTCGGGTTGCCACAGCCAGTGAAGGCACAGCAGCTAACGCAGACCTGGTGGCATAATGATACAGGCTAGCGGTTATATCTGCTTTATAGAGTTTAGAAATTAAAAAGCCAGAAGCTGCTTTCTGCCTCTCTACCCAGATGTGAGTAGCTTCCTTCAGGCTTCATTTTGACACCTTGCCCTGAATCATCTGTTAAAGTACAATGGGTGTTGGATGCCCAGGCTGGTAGTGTGTTAGGTGCTGAGATGGGGAGAACTGAGAACTGACCCCTGATGGCTACTGGCAGTTCACACATGTCCTACCTCTGTCATGGTTTTGGGGCAGTCTAGCCAGTCCCAAGGATGGCTCTGTGGTTCCTTTCATGAGATGGCTCCACTGTGTATTAGTATACTTGTCTAGAGCTGTTTTTTTTAGCAAGTTCACAACCTTATTAACTTGCATTGTAATTGTGCCTTGATTGAAGGGACCATGGCTGCCTCTTGTCAGCTTGTGGCTTCCCACATCCATTGTCCCCAGCCAAGGATGTCCCTAATCTCTTGTCCTCTGCTGGCTCAGGTCTACCCTGGCTCAGTTTCTTGGCCCTTCTGCTTCAGGCATCCTGAAGGTGGAGGAGGGTGACAGGGAATGTTCCAGCCTTTTGTGATCCATATATAATGACAGCTGAATCTGAATGTTGCTGACTTCCACAGAAGGACCCCATAGCTGTTGTTCCCATGGAAAAGCTGTGAGCCAACAAGCCAATTTTAGAGTCTAGTTACTGCCGAGTTTGGCCTTCTGCCTGCCCAGGAGTGATCCCAGTTACTCCAAAGTTCTCTCTGGGCTCTCACTGACCATGTCATTTCTCACTCAAAATGGCCACGGCATGAGAAACCCAGGTAGAAATGCTGGGCGCTAGGGCAGTTTAGGGTAGGCCTGGAAGCCAGGGCTGGCCGAGGTATACAACACATGCCCTGTGCTCTGGCTCTGAGATGTTCCCTGGCAGGCAGGCAGAGTGCACCGAAAGGTAGTGTTGGGCACAGGAACAAGCTGGAGTACATGTGCCAGTTCCCTGGGAAGGCGGGGTTTGAGGCAGCCCCCCACCACGCTCTTTGCCCCCATTAAATATCTCTTTAAACTATCTCACATGCTGAGAAGTGTGGCAAGTAGACAAACATGGGCCCCATCCCATTAGAGCGAAGCTACGACTGTATACACACCCTGGGCCTCAGATGCAGCTGTTCTGAGGCCCTCACCCTGTACTCCCCGTGTCTGCCTTCTCTCTAAAAGCCCTAAATGTGCCCGGTACTCTGATGAACGCTGCACTGTGATCGGGGTTTTAATTACTGTGGTACAGTTGCACTGTACGTCTGCCACCCATATCAGCAGACCTGTGGTGTTCCCCCAAGAACCCAGTGTGCAGCCTTCATCCCTGACAGCCATGTGTGGCCTCCCTGTTGTCTTATTCTCATGACACTCTTTGAATTCCAGAACTGGGATTCCATTAGCTGGTCCACAGGCCCCTGAGGTGGCTGGCTCCTGGGTTTATAAGGAGGATTGAGTGCTCAGCTGTGGCTGTCTCGGGGTTTCATGTACTCAACCTTATGTTAGGGGCTCTGCCATGATGCCACAGTAATTAACAGCAATAACAGCAACAAAATCTCGTTTTAAAGCCACAAACGCCAACATTCTCTGTCAGTTCTGTGGTGCTTCTTAATGCATAGAACCTCACAGAGCATGCTATGTTCCAGCATGGTAGGACCTGGGGCAACAGCTCTGTCCAGAGCCTCAATAGCCCCGCTCGGGCTTGCCCCTTTATGCCTTCTGCCAGGCCGTCATTGCACCCAGCACATTTAGGGGAGAGAATTAGTTGAAGACTGATCTCTCTTTCTTTTATTGCCATCACTTAAGGATAATCTAAATGTAATTACTGTGATGGAGGCATAATGCAATTCCAAATAATGACGGCCCTCTGCTTCTAAAACTAACAAAACTTTCTCTGCTGATTTATGGGTGCTTCTGGCTCAGTATGAATTTCAAATGACGCCTCTGGGAGCAACACTCCAGATAACGCAAGGCCATTTTTAAAAAGCAGATTTGTGTAGTCGATCGGACCGAGTCATTTTTTTCCTCTTGGCCGTGGTGAGAAATTGGTTGTTACCATAGATCACAGGCCCTGCTGCATGTGCCCATGAAAGATGAATTAATTCCACTAATGCTCCAAGCGGGCCTTCCTCAGTGGGGCTGCTTGGTGATAACCTCCCGCAGCCCCTCTTTTCTCCGCTGCGATTTATGCTCTCTCAGTAGATGAAGCTGCCTGGATTCGCAATCCATCTGCTGGCTCAAGGAACCCTATTAACAGGGGACTAAGCAGAAGCCGAGTGAGGTGAGCGCTGTGCTGTCCTCCTGGGCCTGTGTAGGTTCTCTTTCTGTGGCCAGGGCTCCATCTAAAGAGAGGAGAAGCCATGTGAGAGCCTGGGTACCACCTCCCCAAGGATGAGAATCTTGTCATTCCCATTGGCCCAGAGGAGTTCATTAGTGGAGGTTTCAGAAGGTGATCAGTGAGAAGAAAGTCCCAGATCGTAGCCTGCTGGAAGTCACCCATCAGAGTCGAGCCCTGCCTACCCTGTGCACACTGCTCCCATCTGCAGTGGCCAAGGGGACAGCTTTTGTAGCTGGGTGCTTCTAGGCCTTCCAAGACCTTTATTATGTCCTGGGCTCCTACCTGTGTGGGCCTGCCCTGCACCCCAAACACAGTCGTAAGTAGGTATGTGTGAATGTGTTTACATGTGCATGTCTCAGTTCCTTTGCACGTATTTGTGTGTGCTGTACATAGAGGGTAGTCAGGGAGGCCCCACTAAGGAGTTTCCTTGCCAGAGAAGCACCCGGTGGTCTGCTGATGGGTGTGGCAGGTGTACTCCTGTTGTCCAGCCCATGTAGTGTCTACCCAAGTGCTCATGCTTGACCATAAATGGAAAATGAGTTGTCAGAAAGGTTGAGCCTTGGTCCAGGAGAAAGAAAGTGGATCCCAGTTCTGTTTCCTTCTTTGGGTTAGTCATTGGCTTTGGAAGTCTGAGGAAGTCTGAGGCTCTTTCCCTCCTGCTTGAAGGGAGGGCTTTTTGTGCAGACCTCCTTTCAGGTTGCGGAGGGAGTGTGGAATACTGAAGGAGGACCGTCTTTTGAAGAATCTAAGTGGGGCTCACCTGTCCTTGGAAGAACAAAGATCTGTCCCAATCTAGACCAAGGAAATGGACAAACCTGAGGCCACACACTGTGGGAGTGTTAGAGTGCCTGGATGATAGTTGCATCTTGCCATTCTGTAACAGTGTTGGAAATGAGGTTGGAATGGCTATAGTTGTAGTGGTGAGTGTGCCTTAGAGGCGATAGTTTTCTGTAACTATTTTACGAAGCTGTTGGATTATATAAATATTAACTACTACATTTCTTGAAATTCAGCTATAACTCAGAGAAAGTCTCATATCTAGTTAGAATCCTGATTGCAGTTATTACCAACATCTGCTATAGAAAAAAAAATGCACATTTTGTTGTGTGTTCAATTAGTAATTAATGTTGAAGTCAGTTCTCTATTATGGAAATTTAATTTTTAAAACAATGTGTGTGTGTTCACAGTGCACAGTGTACATGTGCACCTTAATTTACACAAATTAAATTACTGAGGAGAAAGTTATTTTTGGTCCTAAATTCACAAATACCTTCCATTTGCAATGGCGGTGAAGCACAGTTCTAGGAAAAGTGACTACAGGTGGACTGGGCTCGATGCTTCTCTGGAGGAACTTTTAGGAAGGGGTCAGGTGATGGCAGGATGGCTGCTTCTCCCTGCAGAGCACACTGCTCAGTGCTGTACACAGCTCTGCATGCTGTGAGTCATATCGGACCTTAACACAGTATAGGCCTGCTCTTATAGAGCCATGCTTGACAGGAGAAGAACCCATTCTACACTCCTTACATGAACTGTCGTGATGCTGGGAGAATGGTAAGTACAGGACCACACAGGGTGATGCCTGAACTTGGGAGAGGTGGCCAGGTACCTTTGTAACACAAGGGTACCAGTGTAGATTGCATATTAGATATGATGATAACTATATTTGTCAGAGTTCTCTAGAGGAATGGATTATTGAATGAATATCTATCTATCTATCTATCTATCTATCTATCTATCTATCTATCTATCTATCTATCTATCTATCTATCTATCTAGGGGATTTCTTAGAATGGCTTACAGGCTGTGGTCCATCTAGTCCAACAATAACTGTCTACCAACAGAAGGTCCAAAAATTCAGTAGCTGTTTAGACCACAAGTATGGATGTCTCAGCAGGTCTTCAGTATACACTAAAATCCCAGAGAAGTAAGCTCTACTGCCAGTGAAAGAATGGACTTGGACTTGTTAGTAGAGTGAGAACAAGCAGGCAAAGAGTTCAAGCTTGCTTCCTCCATGTCCTTTATATAGACTTCCAGCAGAAGGAGTAGCCCAGATTAAAGGTGGATTTTCTCACCTCAGAAGATCCAGATTACACGTGGGCGCTTTCCACTTCAAATGATTTAAGAAAAAAATCCCTCGCAGGTGTACTCAGCTGCTTGGGTTTTAAATAATTCCAGATGTGGTCAAGTTGACAACTAAGTATAGCCATTACATTTGCTCTGATAGGTCCTGCTTTCCTGAGGGAGAGCAGGTAGTGGGGCTGCGGGAGGGGCATGAATGAGTGGAGAGGCACCTGGGACACTCTGCACACTGAGGGCCAGTGACCAGAATAACACAGAATCTGAGAAGTGAGCTGTGCCTGGAGAGCTTACATCCAAGGCAGTATATATATCAGGACATGTGAAAAAGGAACCGTGGCTAAGAATATCATGGAGTTAAAGGGAGAACACTGAGCTATTTCTATTACATAAAGGAATAAGATGCCGAGGAATCTTATAAGGAAAAAGGCCAATAAGAAACTGGCCTACCCTTCCTCTCTGGATCCTCTTTCTGTTTTCTTTTAGATTGATTTTATTTTATGCATATGAATGTTTTACTTGCATGTATGTATATATGTATGTGCACCATTAATGTGCCTGGTGCCCAGAAAGGCCAGAAGAGAATGCTGGATCCCCTGGAACTGGACTTAGAAGTGGTGGTGAACCACCATGTGTATGCTTAGAACCAAACCTGGGTGGGTCCTCTACAAAAACCAGTGCTCTTAACCGCTGAACCATCTATCCAGCCCCCTTCATATCCTTCTTAAGGCAGAAAATATTTTGTCATAAATTAACCAAATTCCCCATGGTCACTTCTACCACTGACCCTTAGGCACCACAGAGGAGATGCTTTCTTCCCTGGTCCAACAACAAAGCATCCCAGCCTCCTTAGAGTCATCTGTTCTCTGTCCCAAGACAGAATACCAGGCACCATAGAGGATCCTCACCCTGTGGGCTGTTCTCCTTAGGGAGATGAGACTCTTACTTTTGCCTCCTCTTTGCCACCTGGGCAAGCGTGAGGCATTCCTCTTTGCCCACAGGACCCCTGCTCCCTGTGAGAGGAAGAGCAGGCTAGGAGGTGGCCTGGAGGTGGCTTGAGAGGCCAGGAGGTGGCTTTCTTGTGTAGAGCTGTGTAAATTAAAAGTAAAGTAGAATTTAAAGTTCATGTCTTTCGTGCATATACACTAGTGCCAGAAAGGCTGTTGTCCCATAGGCAGGTCTAATGCCAGCAGACTGCTCCATGTGCCTAGACTCCTTGTGTGTGTGTGTGGGGGGCGGTGGTGAGCAGTGCTGCAGCAGCATTGGGATCAGAAGCTCGGAAGGCCCAGCTGTATGTGCAGTATATCTGAAGCTGTGGTCAAGAGCAAGGTCCAGGTCATGTGTGTGCAAACCCCCCCCCCATACACCCTTATTCCCTTCCCTTCCCACCACTTTTCTCTGCTTTTCAGGACCAAGCCAGGGCTTTCCAGACTCTGAATAGTGGTTGTTTGTTGGGAGGGAAGGAGGGAGTGAAGAAAGGAGGGAGGGAGGGAGGGAGAGAGGACACAGGGTAGAAATGACCATCCCCTTTCTTTAATTCAGCCTTCAGTTAGCAGTTCTAGCCTGAGGACCAAGTGGTTTGTCAACCACAGGAAGATTTTTTTTTTCCCCCAGTTCTAGATCCCCAGTCAATGCAGGATCCAGGAGCTAGTAGAGCACCGAGTATGGGCTGCATCTTCTTCCAAGGTAGAGCCTGGCTACCTGCCTTCTATAAGCCCAAATACATGCTTCCATGTGGCAGAAAGTAGGCAAGGGATGAAAAGGCCCAGACTCACTTCATCAAGCCCCTTTGCAAGAAGTCTCAGCTCTGGTGACAGGGTCACCTTTCAGAGATCCCTGCCTCTCGGACCCATCATATTGGAGGTCGGTCAGATGTCAACATCAGGATTTAGGGGATATTCAGAACACAGCGCTTGCTCTTCTAGTAGCTGTCCCACGTGTGGATAAACACTGCAGGCTGTATCACTGCTGGCAGTGGCATAAAATTTAGAAGGATCATGAGTTTGAGGCCAGCCTGGATTGTGTAGCAAGGAATTGTCCCCTAAAAAACAAACAAACAAACAAACAAACAAGCAAAGGAAGGAGGGCGTCTTAGCTGTGCCACGAGCACAGATGAACCCTGTGGCTTCCCATTTCTCTGTTACTGACCCTGCAACCTTTCCTTTTCAGTGCAAATGGTCAAGGAAAGGCTTCATCAGGACGCGGTGGTGCATTGCTGACTGGTATGTTACACATTGTCTGATTGACTGTTTCTGCTCCATAATTTTGAATGTTACAAACATGTTGTCAAAGACTCTCCTCACTTTGAACAGGGACTCGGCTACTCAGAGTACCCCATCACTCCTTTTCTAGCTGATGGGTGATGCCACATGACACAGTGTTGTTTCCTGTCCCTTTTAAGATGGAGGCTCAGGCATTCAGCACAAATGAAAACAGGAAAACCTCTCATCTTCAAGTGTGACCTGTGTGTACCAGAGCCCACTGCACAACTGAACTGGTGGGAAGGCTCCCCATTAGGGGCTAGGCCATGAAGTTAAGCTCTACAAAGACAGCCTGGCAAGCTGAGGTTATTAGGCACAGGCAAAGTAGGTCCTAACTCCATTCATTTGTTTCAGCCTATTCTCTGGGTGAGCATGCTCCATGGTAATGCCCACCTTGTCCACCTGAGAACCACAGACACATATGGCTCAGTTTTCAGTTCCTGCAATAGAGTTGACTAAGCCCTGATTTCTGCAGTTTGGCTAAGGTACTGGCCCAGGCCCCTAGAGCTGCTCAGAGAGAACAGAGGTTCCTAAAATGGAGCTACAGTCTCTCATGACCTGATCCAGGAGGTGGCCACTCACCCATGCTACTACTCTTTGCCCTTGGTGAATGCCTAAGGATAAGTGCTCGGGACTTTGATCCTGAACTGAAGAAGAGGATGTGATGCTGAGAGGCTTAGCTCTGTTCAGGGTTCCTGGAGTTCTAGCTCTTGGTCATCAGGTCCCTCTCTTTGTTTATTACAGTGCCTTCGACTTGGTGAACATCCATCTTTTTCATGATGCATCCAACTTAGTGGCCTGGGAGACAAGCCCCTCAGTGTACTCGGGTGTCAGGCACAAGGCCCTGGGCTATGTGCTCGACAGGTAGGTGCCGTACCCTAGCCACTTCTGAGCATGACTGTGGCTGCTCTGAGGCCCCTTCATGGTTTGTATTTTCATGCTTGACAGTGGCCCTTGGTAATGTCAACCCACAAAGGATGTAAAATCCCCAACTCCATCCGTTGGCTAAGCAGCCCCTGAGTAAATGAGCTGTGATGTTCATTACTTCCCTTCCTTCTGCTTTTCTCTCTTTCTCTCTCTCTCTCTCTCTCTCTCTCTCTCTCTCTGTATCATGACATGGCAGAATTGCCATGGCTCTGGTTAGTTGTGGACTCAAAAAATGGACCTAGCCATGGGCAGCACCCTGCCCACAGCCCTGTTTCTGTCCACAGGGTCTAGGGATGTTGGGCTTAGGTCAACTCAAGGAAGCTCTGCTACCAGCATGGTGTTGCCTTCTTCCTGCCTTTATCGTTTCCCTGTCCAGCTGGCTGCGGTATGCTTCCTGGGTACAGGATGATCCCTGGAAAAGGGATAGTGGCCTTGTGGCTGTCAGAGCTAGGGACTGCCCACCTTCTGCTGGAGCACCCACCTGCCCACACTACAGGCTCCTCTGTAGTGTGATGTCCTGTGTGATCTTGGACAGGTCAGGACTAATGGGCTGTCATCCAGAGAAAGCGATGACCCTGACTGATAGGAGGAATATGAACCTGCCTGGCAGTATCCATCTGCCTTACAGATAGGCATTCTCTGAAGCCCAGTCTGGGAGACACAGCTGGATTTAGACTTTCCTCCTTCCTTATGGTCCTCAAGTTGGCCATATGAAGGGGAGGGATCAACTCTGGATGGCTAAAGCCACTTCCCATAGACCATAGGCAAATGGTCTTGGTTCCCCCTGAGCCTCACACTGTTTCCTAAAGGCCTGATTCTGGCATCGTCCCAGAGCAAGGGCAACACATTGAGCTCAGAGGAGAGGGAGTATATTGGGTCTCATCTGGCTTGCCTTTAGCTTCCTTTCCTCAGCCCGTCCTGACCTCCACTCAGATCTCAGCCTCCCTCCAGCCTGTACCTGGCCTCTCCTTAATGCTCTCCCATCCCCCATATCTTCCCAGAGCACCTCCTGTCTGCTCTCTTGAAGAAGTGGCCATCTATGAATCTAGGTGTTAGACTGAGCAGAGGGTCCTTAGCATCAGATGAGGTCCCAAAGAATAGCTGCTAGGGAGGTCCTTACACAAGCCTTGAGCACAGGCCTATCTCCTCCTTGTGCCTTATGAGAAGTGTGTGTGTGTGTGTGTGTGTATACAGTGTTGGGTGAATATGAGCATGTTTGTGCATGTGAATGCATACATGTATTATGGGGCTTGTACAGGGCAATTTCATATATCTTGTTTGTGTTGTAGATCACTGTGCTCCTAAAACAAGAAGCAAAGCTGGTCCTCTGGACCATGATGTCACTGTATGACAGGGTTAGAACTACTGAGTAACTCTACCGTCTCTTCCTGCAATGGCAATTAGTAAGCTTAGCCCATGAGTTCCTCCTTCATGGGCCTTTGAAGCAGTGTTCTATACAAGGAGTCAGAAGATAAGAGTCTCACCCCTGTGCCACCATTAGATAAGCACTGGGCTGGTGACCTCTGGAGACCATGCCGTCACCCGTGAGAGAGGTCAGCCTAAGGTCCTGCCACTGGTTCCTTTCCTCTGTTGGCTTCCCCCAGCCTCCAGTGTAAGAGAGGGCCCTAGGGCTGCTCGTATCATCTCGGTCACTGCAGAAGAACCACAGGTGTGAGAAATGGCTCTGATGCTTCTCCTGTTGTTGCCCCAGCCTGGGTCCTTGTCTTTCAAATTTGTGTGTAGCCACACTCTTTCCTCTGAGGCTGATGCCTGAGCAAGTGCTGTACCAAGCCTGAAGCCTGAACTCAGCATCTACTGTGGGATACAGCTCAGGCAATTGGAGATGGTTCTAGGCACTTTGCCCCAACAAAGTGTCCGATTCCTGTCCGTGCCCGTCTTCCTCACACGATTTATGAATCCAGGTGCCCTCATCCTCTGGTGTCCTCAACTCATTCCTCCTGACCCCTGGCACTTTACCAGTCCTGCTTTCAAGTACCCTCTGCTATGGGCCCTGCCTAGCCATTTTGTAAGGAGGTACCATGACAGTGTTGCCCACTAGCTCCTAGAGTGGAAAAGTGGCTGGTGCTGCCCCCATCAAGACCAGACTCCAGGGACAACACTGGACTGATAGTGTCTCACCTCGGGGTTATGTCTCAATTTCAAGGAGATTGCTAGAGTCTTGGGTGGGTGCCCCTGAAGTCTCCCTCCTGTCAGGTTCCTCTGTGGTGGTGGTTTGTTCCTCCATGGGGCTGCCTTTCTGGGCTAGTGAATCAGCAGCCAGCACTAAGGGCCTTGCCTGTGTGGCTCTTCTTGCTATTTGCTCCATGGCCCTTTCTCTAGGACCTCCCAGGGAGCTGGGAGCTGAGAGCGACCAAATGTCCATCAGCCCTGGTGACCGTGGTCAGCTTGTCAGTGTGGTAAGACATTAGAATGTGTCATTGCCCTACACTACCATGCTTCCAGCCTCCAGAAAGCAGCCTTGGGGCCTGGGGGCCACTTTTCTGCATCTTTGCATTCCAATGAATGGCTTCTGTGGCGAGCTCAGCCAGCCGCAGATCCGGACCTCCGCAGGGTAGGGCTGGGCTGCTGGGCACAAAGGGGCACTCTGCAGGAGTGGTGAATAATGGCCCGCCCTTTCATCGGGAGGCTAACCTTTTGGCAGCCACCAGCAGACTGCATTCTCCTGTGCTGATTGGGGAGGACAATGCTGTACTGGCCTTTGAATGGACACCGCCACCAACAGCGCTGTATTCACAGCAGCACTGGGAACCGTGTGAGCATTGTCTGCAGGCCCCACGGAGCTGCAGGAGACGGTGAGGAGGCTGGGATAGAGAGGCTGGCTTCTTGGTTTAATCTCCCTGTCCAGCCTGTAGGTCCCTGTCTTCATGTGAGCTGAGAAGTTGGGGCATTAGACCCAGGGATAAACACTCTTGTACCCTCTCCACAAAAGGGGAAGAAAGATGGTATTAAAACCCAGGACACCAGTATGTCATAACTTTTCTCCAAATCTAAGATTATTTTAAAATAAGTTATAAAGAAACAGGTCCAAGAGTCAAGTCTGACTCAACTCTCCAGGTGCTTCAGCTGTATGTAGCATGCCTGCTTGCCTGCACTAGAGCCATTGCATGCAAAGACATCTTTGTCTCTGACACACCTGGGAACTAGTGAGGGACTGACCCTCACTCCAGCCTAAGAAGCTAGGATTGCCTTGCTTTGCATTCTCTTTTTCTTTGCAGGTTTTGTTTTGGTTTTGTCCTCCCTCCCTTCTTTTTTTTTTAGACAGGAACTTTGTAGCCTAAGCTGGCCTAGTACTCACAGCAATTCCCCTGCCTCAGCTGCCTGAGTATTAGTATTGCTCTTGTGAACCATCATGCCTGGCTAGCCAAGACTAATTGTGCCAGATAGTAATGTTTTTATTTTTGTGTGATTTATGCGTTTTTAGCCCTACACATCTAATTATGAAAGATTTTTTAAAATTTAGATTTATTTATTTATTATTGTATGTGTATGATTGCTTTGCCTGCATTATTATATGTATATCACATGCTTGCCTGGTACTTATGGAGGCCAAAAGAGAACACTGGGACCGTGAGCCATCTTGTGGATTTTGAAAAATCAAACCCAGGTCCTCTGCAAGAGCAACTCATATTCTTAACCACTGAGCCTACTTTTTAGCCTAAAATTGTGTGTGTGTGTGTGTGTGTGTGTGTACGTACATGTATGTGTGGAGTTTTCTTTTGTTCTGAAACAGCATCTTACAGAGTGTAGCCCTAGCCACCTGAACTTGCTTTGTAGACCAGCATGGCCTTGAACATACAGAGATCTGTCTGCCTCTGCTGAGTACGTGGATTAAAGGCATGAACTACCACTCCCTGTTACAAAAGATTTAAAAAGAAAATCTATATCTGGTAAAGAGTGCCAGTTCTCTAAGAAGTTCAGGCAGGCCCAGCAAGTTGGAGGCATCCGTGCTGGGGCCTGGGGATGCTGGAAGGCCTCCAGCCTCTTGTGGCCCCAAGAGATGCCTACACTGTTGTGGTACCCAGTGTGATACTCTTCTTGACACAAAGTTAGTCCTTTGGGGGCAGCTGGGGTGACTAAACCAGGACCCTGAGGCAGCAACTGTGAGCATGTCCTGAAACCTTCCCGAGTGCTCAGCCCATGAAATGAGATTTTTTTTTTTCCTGCCAAGTGACAGGAGCCTTCAGTGTCCCCTTTGAAATGTGGCCTGGCTAGTTCAACAGAGACATTTTTACATTACAACTGTGAAACCCTGGCATAAAGCACCCCTCTGTCCCCCATTATTTTCTCACAAACACAGTCCACTGTCATAGTGCTGAAGTTAATTTGATCAACATTGGGACATTTAACTTTTATGTCCAGTGAAAAGAGTTGTTTCATGCTCATTTTGGGCATTCAAAGGAAATGATTGCCAGAAAAATAATGTTCCTTGGGACAATCCGGAGCAATTAGTTTCCCAGGGAGAGGCTGTGTGACGCCGGCTGCCACACAGCCCCTCTTTGTCGCTTTATGGATGGTCATCCGTCAGCTGTCAGGCTGCTCAAAGACCCCTCCAATCTAAATGTTTCTCTTTAGGCCGTTCCCAGAACTCGCCTTGCTGCTCAGTGAGCAGAAGAAAAGCACTGCGTCTCTAGGCAAAGGCGAGCTCCCTGCTAAGGATCTAGGTCATTCCAGAATGCTCCGGTGTGGCCGGCACAGAGCTGTTTCTTGCACCTCATTTGCTGCCCACAGCCCTGGAGAGGGGTGTGGGTGTCTCTGTGGGCTGTGCCTACAGCCTAAGTTTGGGAGGCCTCAGGGCACCCACTGTCCAGAGCTTACCCTACACAGCACAAAATTCCCATAGTGAGTCAAAGGGCCTGGAGCCCACGGACTCATCAGCTGTGTAACTCATCAGTCTGAAACTCCAAGGCCCGTGCCAG